AATTATTGAGACTATCCTAATGACTTTCAGATAACACATCTTCCACTGGTTATAATTTTGAATTATATTTTCATAGAATCAAAGGGTTTTTATTTGTTGGTTTCTTTGGCATTTTGATAATTTGCTTACCAGCAGTCTGAAAACACAAGGCTAAATGCAAATCCTTAAAAGATCAGCCAATACTATTAGAAATGCTAGATTGGGCATTCCCATACAGAAAGACCCTGCTGGCCACTTACTGTAAGCTATTTACCATGACCTACAAATTCTGGCATGATCTTCCCACTGCCAACCTCCTTCACTTGATGTTGTCACTATTCTCCAGTCACAGGGGCCTTTATTAAACGCTTATTATGTTCTAAGCTCCATGCCAAGTTCTTTAAATTCATTTTCTGCTTTAACATTTATAACAGTCCCAGGAAAGGGATAATATTATTACTACTGTACAGAGAAATAAAGACCCAGAAATTATGTGGCTTGGCCAAGGTGACATAAGCACTGAATGTTGCAGCCAGATATTTAACCCTGCACATACAGAATTCAGTTCCCAAATGTGTATCTTCAGACCATATATCCCCCAGCCTTATTGATATGTGCACTTCTATACCTAACAGACATATGAAACATGACCTACTAAATAACTCAAGTCTGAAAGTTTTATTTTACACCTTCCCTCCCCATCTTCCCAATCTCAGTCACCCACTGATGAAGGCAAAAGCTTGAATGTCACCTTTCATTGCTCTCCTTACAGCAGCTCTTGTCAGGTTTCTGTCCAAAATAAAAGCTAAATCTGTCCACTTCTCTCTACCTTCACTGTTACTACCCTAAGCTGAGCCTCCTCCATCTCCCACCTGAGCCCATAGAAGAAGCTCCAGAGTAGTCCCTTGGCTACATCTCATCCACTCCTCATACAGTAGCCATCATGGGCTTTACAAGGTGAACATGCATGAACACTCACCCCGTTAAACTCTCCAGTGATTTCTCCCCATCACTACCATATGCAAAAATGTAGGTTAAAATGTACACACATATTGTTAAGCCAAAGAATCCAAACTATAAGAATTTTAGTACATTTTCATTTGTATAAAACTCAAAATACATAAAATTAAGCTATAGTCACAGAAGTCCAAATAAAGTTTAACTTTTGAGGAGTAGGAGACATAAAAGAATGAGGGAGAGGTGCTCCCTCTGGTAGCATGGGATGCTAGTAATGTTCCATAGCTTGACTTATGCAGTTACAGAGACATGTTCACTTTGTAAAATTTCATGAGCTATGTGTACACGTAGGTTTTGTGTGCTTTACTATGTGTATAATATACTCCAATAGAAACATTTATAAAAGGAGACAGGGACTGTCACAATGGGATAACTTAAAGGTATTATCTCATACATAATAAGGACACTTCAAACAAAGTGTTTTCAACAGGTTGGAAATACACATTAGTAAAGACAAGTATGAATAAACAAAAGCAAAAGAAAAATGGTAATATTAAAATAAAGCAAGGAGAGAAGTCAAATTAAAAGTTCTAAACTGGATATAGATGAGCTTGATGTGGTAATAAGAATTTATGTTCAATATTTACAAAGAAGCTACAGTAATCATAGGCTTTTTTTTTTTTTACAAAAAACTACATAAGAGATAAATAAATAAAGTAAAAGTATTAGAGTACATTTAAAATGCAACCAAGGTAGGCATGGTGGTGCATGCTTCTAATGCCAGCACTATGGGAGGCTGAGGCAGGAAGATCACAAGTTTGAGCCAACCTGGGCAACTCAGCAACTTAGTGAGACCAAAGCTCAAAATAAAAAATAAAAAGGTCTGCGATGTAGCTAAGTACAAAAGCCCTGAGTATAATCCCCAGTGCTGGATAGATAAATAATAAATAAATAAATAAATAAATAAATAAATAAAACGCAACCAAAGTGTGAAATCTCAGTAAGCTTTTTTTAGAATCAGGGAGCATGCTAATAAAACAAAAATAAACAGAAGGAAAATTGAATAGTATATCAAAAATACAAGTTATTAAGATATTTAGAATAGTTTTAGAAGCTTAGCAGAAAATATACAATTTCCATATGGAGCTAAAATATTGACAAAAATCAATCACACAGACACACACACACACATATATCCATTAAAAACTTTACACATTACAGTTACAAATAATCCAATAAAATTAAGAATAAAGTACACTTGGACCACACATATATTCTTCATAGATTATTTGGTTCTGCATTCTTTTTTATTTTCTTCTGTGTTATATTGTTGCTGTTGCTGGTGGTGGTGGTGATTTCATAGAGAAGAATGGAATAGAAAAGGCTCCTTTCCAGTTGTTAACTGGAAATTGCTATTTAAATTCAACTCAAGTCAATAAATACTCAGGCTTATAAAAATCAAGATGCTGTAATTAGCACTAGAAAAAGAAAAAAAAGAGAAAAAAGCTCATAGCAAATATTTGAAGGACACAGGTAATCCCACTCTATTGAAACACACAATGCAAAGAATAAAATTCACTCCTGTCCCTGTAATGGCAACCGGAGTCCTATCTCAGCAGAAAAGTCTCCCAACTTTCCTTAAGTGAGATAGTCTTATTTACGGTCTGGGAGCCCTCAGGACCATCCTAATAATAGCAATGCTTGGTAGCATTAATAAATGATGCTGAACAATCTAAAAAATTATGGTAACACATATTCAGCATGTTCTTTGGGAGATATTTTCATACAGAGCCATATGGGCCACTTAATAAAAAAGAATTTTATTTTTTAAAAAAATGTAAGATAAGCTCCTTTTTGGAGTGGCTCCTTGCCTAGCTAAGAGTATGGTTGTGTCCTAGAGACTTAAAATAATTGTTCTGGGGTAAGTAAGCAATATATATGGATAATGTGTGTGGTGTGGGTCTGTGTGTGTGTCTCCAGGAAGCTAAAGAGTGAACAAATATAAATTAGATCAAGGGCTTTGGGAGATTTAAGGCTCTGTGCAAAAAAAATAATAATAAATTCAACTAAGCATGAACAAGAGGTGGTAGCCACTTTTTAGTCTCCATTAGTCTGATGATATTAGCACCAAGACTTAAACCTCAAGAAGTCATGAGATTCTCCCATTTTTCCTTAAAAGGATGAAAAAAGAAATCTTCACCTGAAGGAAACAACATTTGGCTCTAAAGCATTTGCTCCCTTGATTGTCCTGGCCTTGCTACCTAGCTCCTCCTTCTGCCTGCTCTCTGTATCTCCACAGCCATGTTTTGTTCAGCATCTACTCCCTGGGTTCTAGGAAGAAAGAAGCCAATGGAACTCCAGCTGCTATTTATAAAACACAACCTGTGACATGAACAGTGGGCCTTTTTCTCCTCGTGAATCTTGTGAGATGTTCTTCTAGAAAGGGACCAACTATATTAGCCCTGGAATTGGAATTTGAACCTGGAATGCCAAGCGTAAGAGTTGCTGGCCTGGCATCAGACTTTGGCTTTCAGAAACCTCAGTATATGTCCATGTCAGATGGGTTATGGCTAGCTTTGAGGTGGAAGCATCTCTATATAAGCTGATTTCCAGAAAATATAGGTAATTAAATTAGCAGTGAAAATCAGAGGATCATAGTAGAAGACACAGAAGGAAGAAAATTGACATCTATGATACTGACCAATACCTCTGAGACAATGATGTCGGAAATATAGTTCCCACACCAACAGAGTGAGCATCATCACCTGGGAAACAGAAATGCAACTTTTCAGGCTTTTCCCTGACCTGTTGGGACAGAAATTTTGTAGGTGGCATCCAATAAGTCATGATAATTCTGTTAAAATTTGAGAATAAGTTCACTAGGGGAAGAAAAAACTTAAGGCATAGATCAGTGAGTCTCAAATTTTATCTTACATTAGAATTCTTTGGAGAGTTTATTAAAACAAAAATCACTAAATCCTACCCTAAGAATATAATATTCAATAGGGATGGGAGGGGCAGTTTGCATTTCTAACCAGTTCCTAGATGGTGCTGCTTCTGCTGCCTCTAGAACCACCGGTCTACGTATAGATTTAGGCAAGTAGAAGACTGCCTTGATCTCAGACTAGAAGGGGTGGGACAGTGGGATGACTTATGATTACATAGACATGTCAGTGATTTATACAGAGAAATGCTCTGCTCACTTTGGGGCCTGTGGAGACAGTAAAGACGAGGCAGACAGAGTTCCCTGCCCTCCTGCAGTGGCAGTGGTGAAGTCAGCTGTCCAGAGCAGGCCAGGCGAGCCATCTTCACAGTGGCTTCTGTGAACCAATATCCAAGGACCAACCAGGTTGAGGGCAAGCCAGTAGATACTGGCATGAAGAGATGAATGCAGAGAAAAGAATTCCTTGCTCCCACCTGATAATTTAGCACCTTGGAAGTTTCCAGAATTCAGCCATGAACTCGGGGAAAGTGGGAAAATCAAGACAGTGCATTTGAAAGGAAGCTATGCTGTTAGCATCTTTTATAAGCTCTTCAAGATACTGCTAAAGACAGAAAATTGGAAATTTTATTTCCACGATGCTTAGGAAATATGGGCAAGGTACACCACCTCAAAACAACCCTTCAAGTGTAGAGTAGAAATGACTGCCTGAGTTTCCCTGCTCAATCAACCAGCTTGATGGGGGGACATCAAATATAAATTGCCTTAGAAAGCATAAAATGACTATTTGTGAAGGAATAACTGGTAAAACTCAAATACAGAGACATTCTTCCCAACGACTGACCTGAATGTTCAAGTAGGTACTACTGTATGTATTAGGTTATGGAACTTTATCGATGGTTTTCAAAATTTGAGTGCAAGTGAGCATGACTATATGGATTGAAATTTGTATCTGCTACACTCATATCCATATTCTTCTGCTGGCTGCTTTCTCCAGAATAATCACGACCAGAACAGTAAATTTCATAATATAACACAAAGAATTGATACACCAGGAAGAATAGGAATTGTGTACTTTTTAAAAATATAGACAATTTTAGAACTTTTAAGAGTCCATACTTACTTTCCTTCTGGCTACTTGGATGTTCTTGCAGTAGGACGTTGGACCATCTGGGACAGGTGTAAGATATCACAGTCTGTTCTCAGTCTTTCCCAGGACATAACAGCCATAGAGTTTACTGCTGACACCTGAGACAGGAAAAGTAGCCTTTGCTCTCCCTTTCAAAGTGACTGTTCTTTGATTTCTCTCCTTGTATGATCTTCTTATCTCTGAATTTTTTTAGTTCTTGCAGTCTGAACTAAACACCCACATGCTTTCATCCAGCCTGGTATTATTCACCAGTTATTTCATGTACTTATCACTCATCTCTCAGCCCAGAAGGAACCTCCTCAGAGGCAGGAACTGTGTCTTCCATTCCTTTTGCATTCTGAATGGCACTGCACGGTGCCGAATCCTGTAAGCACTGGAGAAACGTTCATGCATACACTGTGCACGCACACAAAACATAGTGGATGAATGAATGGGGAGTGCACATTTCTTCTACACCAATTCAAAAAGAAGCTCTCAGAAGCGTGTCTGCTGGATTTGAGAGTTTTAGTAAAAATTAAAACTTCCTCATCTACATCTAAATGTGTTTTATTTATGTCATTAGTGCTTGCCTGAATGTTCTTCTCAAAGTCTTTGTTGGAGAATTGCTGCATGCCATTATTTACAGCCAACAGCCGTGTACCTATGAGCTTACGCACGGCTTATCTCAAGTGAACTGTGGGACTCAGCCAGGCAAGACTGGATAAGCAAATTCTACCTGTGCTGTCCTTACTTCTTAAGGCTCTTCCTATCCTCACCCTATCCCCCATCTCCTCTTTAACAGATGATTAGCCAGTAAGAGCTGCAATACTGGCACGTTAAAAGACTTCTTTTAGTAAAGGAAAAGAGGCAGCATTTAGAATCTAGAGAAATTAACTGAACATTTTTGTATTTTGAATACACAATGGGAGAAATACTTAGTGACCAGCTTCCTGAAATTTCTTCTTCTAAGAAGTCTATTTGACTTGCTCATGAGGACTATTTCAGGAAGATTTATGGAAAAAATCCTATTCCTATGTGAAATCTACAAACTTCTCTTTTATGTGTGTGTCACTGGGGATTGAACCCAGGGCTTCAGATTGAGTTACATCCCGACCTTTTTGATTTTTTTATTTTGAGGCAGGATTTCGCTAAATTTCCCAGGCTGACCATGAACTTGTGAACCTCCTTCTCCAGCCTCCAAAAAAGCTGGGATCATAGGCAAGTGCCATTGCACCCAGCTAATATTTTAAAATTTTTCATAGGTATATTCATGCTTTGGGGAATAGATTTGAACTAATGAAACTTAAAAATCACTCATTTATGAATAAAAAGGGACTAAATTATCATGGTTATGCTTTTCTTATTAGAATATTCACATATTTTGTTTAAAACATGGTGTCAGACATCTGGTGGAAGTGCTGATAGCTTCTTCTCCCAAGCTGAGAACAGGCACTGCTCACTGAGCCAGGACTCTTTCCCTCCTGCAGAGCAGTTGAGGCACCCATTGGCATGCATCCATGCTGGCATGCCAGGCTGGATTTTTCCTGGCATGGCTATTCTTCCTGATATCAAGGTAACTAGGAAGAAACAATTTATTGGAAGGAATGGAATTAGAGCAATTGAACAATTACCAAAAAAAGTACAATTAGGAAATGAAATATCAGGAGTGAAAATAAGTTAGATATAAAGAATTGTAACATAATGTAGAATATAACAATCAGGAGGGGTCTGGTCGTTATGTAGTTAATAAGTTTGTTGCCATCAGAATTAAAAAAAAAAAAAAGAAGGAAGGAAAACAGAGAGAGGGAGGAAGGAAGAAAAGAAAAATAGAAGGGAAGGAAAAAGAAGTTTTTAATTACTGCAGTTCATCACTGGGAACTGCAGATGAGTGTACTCCAGACCTTTTGCACACTAAGCACACACTCTAACACTGAGTGACACATTCAGCCAGGGAAAGTTCTTAGATAGAGAAAGGTACAGCAAATAATGTACTAGACAATGTCCATTTTCTACAACAAATGCCACAATGAACTTAATAAGGCCACTGCTTGTACTATCCTTCTGTAAATGCCAAAGGAATGAGCCCCAGACACAATTCAATGAAGGCAGTTCCAGAAACAGACAAGATAATGTGCTCTAACTTGATCCTAGAAAACCAGATACTGAATAGGATGGGTGGGTAATCCCAAAGGGAATTTGATAGTTTTGCAGGATATTTTCTAAATCTGGGATATTACTGCCAGCCCACTACATAGCATAAATACCTAATGACTGTAACGCCAAAACAGTGTCACCTCTGGGTAAGCCCTGACATTATATTGCTCTTGTCCTCCTCTTAACTAGTCTTTTGAGTACACCAGCAATTTCTGTCACATTGCATTCCCTCATAATGGCTACATCCTATATTAAGGCATTTCTGAATTAGTTATATTTTAGATGAGTTGCTTGCTCAATCATGTGAAACATTAAACTGACAATATTTCTCTTTTCCACAATATAAAACATGCTAGTGCTGTGTCCTGAAGCATAGCAATTATAATTACAGTTATTGCACAATCTGGAACATGTCTGTATGTACAGGCTCTCAATAAATATGTATTGGATGAATGATTATCAAGGATACTGTTGTATTATCTTCTCCCACATGTTCCAGAGTTTGAAAGGGTATGTCTAATAGTTTGCATTTTAATCATGATTAATTTACTCTTTTAGACGGGTATGATATGCTTAGTTTTATCTCATGGATTCAATATAGTCAAATGCAAAGGAACATGCATTTTGGCTTCAGCTCACTGACCTCAAGTACAAACAAAGGTTTCTTGAAATTATGTTTGGTCTGTTGATTGTGATTTTTTGATTCTTACTGAGTTTCCCTTTAAAAAAAAAAAAAGAAAGAAAGAAAAATACTTTCTGGTTCTGGAATATTGCCTTATTTTAAAAAAAAATGTCTCAATGATATGTGTGATCCTTACCTCACATCATAACTAAAATATATCCCAGAAAAATTTGAGGTAATTATAGAATATGCAATAATACTTTGTTAAAAGTAAAATAAAATTTATCTGAATATTTATCTTACACTTGAGAAAGGACTCTAAACATAAAAATACTATAGAGCCCTGGATGTGGCGGCACGTGCCTATAATCTTAACACTCTGTGAGGCTAAAGAAAAAATATCAAAAGTTCAAGCCCACCCTGGGCGATTTAGCAATTTAACAAAACCCTGTCTTAAAATAAAATATGGGCTCTCTGCTCCTGCGCGCCCTCCGACAGCTGTTCTTCCTTAGCAGCGCCAGCCGCGATCCAGACACGATGGTGAAGGTCGGAGTGAACAGATTTGGCCATATTGGACGCCTGGTCACCAGGGCTGCTTTTAACTCTGGCAAAGTGGACGTTGTGGCCATCAATAACCCCTTCATTGACCTCAACTACATGTTCCAGTATAATTCCACCCACGGCAAGTTCCATGGCACTGTCAAGGCTGAGCACTGGAAGCTGGTCATCAGTGGCAAGGCCATCACCATCTTCCAAGAGCGAGATCCTGCCACCATCAAGTGGGGTGGTGCTGGCGCTGAGTACAAGGTGGAATCCACTGGTGTCTTTACCACCATGGAGAAGGCCGGGGCTCACTTGAAGGGTGGTGCCAAGAGGGTCATCATCTCTGCCCCTTCTGCCCATGACCCCATGTTTATGATGGGTGTGAATCACGAGAAATATGACAACTCCCTCAAGATTGTCAGCAATGCTTCCTGCACCACCAACTGCTTAGCCCTGCTGGCCAAGGTCATCCATGACAACTTTGGCATCGTGGAGGGACTCATGACCACAGTCCACGCCATCACTGCCACCCAGAAGACTGTGGACGGCCCCTCTGGGAAGCTGTGGCGTGACAGCCGTGATTCTGCCCAGAACATCATCCCCGTGTCCACTGGCGCTGCTAAGGCTGTGAGCAAGGTCATCCCAGAGCTGAACAGGAAACTCACAGGCATGGCCTCCTGCATGCCCACTCCCACCGTGTCAGGGGTGGATCTGACCTGCCGCCTGGAGAAAGCAGCCAAATACAATGACATCAAGAAGGTGGTAAAGCAGGCGTCAGAAGGCCCCCTCAGAGGTATCCTAGGCTACACCGAGGACCAGGTTGTCTCCTGTGACTTCAACAGTGACACCCACTCTTCCACCTTTGACGCTGGGGCTGGCGTCGCCCTCAATGACCACTTTGTCAAGCTGATTTCCTGGTATGACAATGAGTTCGGCTACAGCAACAGGGTGGTGGACCTCATGGTCCACATGGCCTCCAAGGAGTAAGCGGCTCCCCACCACAGCCCAGCCAGACCAGAGGGGGAGGCCTCGCTGTAGAAGTCACTGCCCCACTCCGCCCCAAAACTGAGAATCTTCACTCACAGCTTCCATCCCAGCCCACTGGAGAAGGGGAGAGGCTTAAGGAGCCCTGGCTCATTTCACACCACCAAAAAAGCCCACTGTACCCAAAAATACATAAATAAATAAAAAATAAAATAAAATATGAAAAGGATTTGGAATATAGCTCAGTGTAAAGGTCTTTTTTCCTATCCTCAGTACCATGAAGAGGGGAAAAGTCATAAGAACATTAAGAAAAACTTTTTAGATTTTTATTGCATAAAAGTTAAATTCTCCTGCACATAAAAAAAATCTAAAGGCAAACAAAAATAACATAAAATAACATAATTTTGTTACTATGCAAAGGTTTAATAGCTTTCACTTATAAAGTACCCCTATAATCAGTAAGAAAATTAATTCTTCAGTAAAGGTTTGGCAAAGAACACTGACAATTTTAAAACAAAAAGATAAAAATAGCCATTAGAAACACTTCAAATGATAGTACAAAAATGGAAATTAAAATGAGATACTCAGTTTGATCTATCTCATTAGTATGTATTTGAGAAATAATAATACTTAATGTAGGCAAAAGTATAGATTTTCTGGAAAGCATTTTGATAATGTGCAAAACCTTTAAAGTTCCGAGTTTAACAAGAGCAAGGTTATATTTATCACATTATTTCATTACATTTCTCATGATGGCCAAAACTAGAAAAATTATAGATGTCTGAAAAATAAAGGAATATTAACTCCTTTTAGTTAATTAAAGTAATTAAACCACATGCTAGAAAATTTTTGATGAAATTATAAAATCTTGAGAAAATTCACATGACTAGTCTTACAGCTATCCGTGCCATATGATTCTGGTTGCCTAAAATCTGTATGTTTACATAAGCATTGAAAAAAGTTAGGAGGAAATATATCAAAATACTAAAATATTAATTCTGAGTCAGGTGTGATTGCACACACTTGTAATCTCAGCCCTTGGGAGCCTAGAGCAGGAAGATCATGAGTTCAAGACCAGCCTGGGCTACATAGTGAGACTCTACTCAAACAAACCAAAAAATAAAAATAAATAAAATATCCATTCTGTATGTGACAATATGATTGAATCTTTCATTCTTGGTGCTTTTTTCTTGTTTACCAAATTCTCTACAATGATCACATATTATTTTCCTAACTTTAAAAAATAGCATATTAAATTTAAAAAGAGCCAGGCGTGGTGGAGCACACCTGCAATCCCAGCACTCAGGAGGCTGAGGTAGGAGGATCATTGCAAGTTTGAGGCCAGCCTGGGCTACAAAGTGAGCTCAAGGTCAGCCTGAACTGCATAGTGATGCCCTGTCTCAAAAAGACAAATAAAAATAAATAAGTAAATAAGTAAAAAGAAATAGAACACCTGGTGTAAATAGCAGATTCCAGGATGTTTTCATATAAACACTCATTTTTTTTCTAGGTTAGTTATCTGCAGTACATTCCTTGGGTCAGGGATTATGTTATGCCCTTAAAACTTCTCAATGCACCTCCTCCAGGCAGGTGCAGTTCAGTGATGATACAATTCCTGTAAGATTGTACCTAAATTACTAAGAGCCAAGTCAAACCTGGTGGGTCAGATATGCAGTTTGTAGTAAGGGGAAAAAAAACACCTAGGGCTGGGAGTGTAGCTCAGTGGGAGAGAATGAATGCTAAGCATGAAGACCCTGGGTTGATCCCCAGTACCAAAACAAAAGCAAGACAAACTCTCACAAAGAATAGGCAACAGTCCTATCAACAGACTTTGGAAAAAACCTCCTGCTTAGTCGTCTCCCCCAAACATTCTTTGTAAACCCCCTAGAGGGCTGAGAGTGCTTCTTCTGAGTTCCTGAATTGTTTTAGCTTGACCCCAGCATTGATCGCAGTTATTGCAATACTCCAATCAGTGTCTGCCCTCCCCGCATGAATTCCTTTTACAGAAATCTCTGCTGTGCTCACCTGTGTAGCCTCAGAGCACGGTGTTAGGCAATCCAAGGTATTTCTTGCCTGGGATTTCATCTAAATCTTGAGGCTAAAAAATGGATTCAAATGAAAAATATTAATCTCTTGAGCGAGGGTCAGTGCATGATGGTGAATCTTGCCTGCTTCCTCTACTCAGCATGGCAAATCACACACATATAAAATAAGTGGTTTCAGATTAGTCGGCCCCAAAGTGGCTGTATGAAACCCAAGCCTTGTATCACTCTCTCATGTTCTATTACAACTCTCTCTGTCCATCAACAGCCCAAGCATTAACTCAAATAAGCATTTCTTTTAATAACTTTGCTTGGAAATGACTGCATGAAACCATGAAGTAGAATTGAAAGTTTCTTGTTTCACTGAAACTGGATCAACATTGACTGTCACACAGTAAGTGCTGTGGTCACTGCCTGGCCAGGGGCCTTTTCTCTGTTGGCTGCATGATTGTTTCTTGTTTGTATAACCAGGGGCCAAGGTAAAGTTGAGCTCTGCCGGAATCTGAAGGAATCCTGGGAGACTAACAAGCTGCTAAAATCCTTCCATCTGGAATTTACCTATGCTGGAATAGCAGTGCTCCTTACTCTGCTAGGAAATCTGCCTGATCCCGTCCAACTGGAGAAGCAGCATCCTTAAAGGGCCCTGTGCTTTGAATGACTGCCTGACCACTTCCTACCTTGAGTCCCCGCTGGGTTTGCCAAGAAGATTTTTTTTTTTTTTTAATTTTAAAAGTAAAAGGAGGAAAACGTTAACAGACAGACAACCTTTTACAAAATAGCAAAAGAACAGTACAGACAATACAGAGTTACAGACAAAGTGGTAGGAAATTAACAATGCTTCTTGTATTACATATTGATATCTTCAAAGCTGGATTTGGAGCAGGCTTCTTCCAATGTCTGCTCCTCTTGCTGAACTTTACGGTCTTTGAGAACAGGGATAATATTTCCCATGTTTTCGTAGCTCAAGTGCCTAACACAGTGGCTGAAATGAAATCCACCAAAAACAAATTGAACTGAATCACTGGGTGAGGGGATGATGTTTTTAAATGATTATTATATATTTAGACTCACAGTAGGAATTCCAGCTCCTTTGAAACAGAATTATAACCTTTTTCTGGAGCATAGTGTGGCTGTTAGAAAACTTTGAGTCAAAGTTCTGTCACATTACTAGCTTTACACACCAGCAAGTTAATGCCTTTTGAGTCTTGATACCCTGATCTATTAAAAGGAAATGAAAATAATGTATCATTGTCAGGATTAAATAAAATTATGACACCTTCCTGGTACATTGTAGGGGGTGGAACAATCTCTTACCTATGTTTAGTATTTGTTTTATGCTACAAAATAATTTTCCCACCAAAATTTTTTACTTGTCCTTTAGGATTCTTACTTTTTATTCCAACAGACTCTACAATCCTACAGAGCAGGAATCAACAAACATTTTTGTAAAAGGCCAAATATTAAGTAGTTTAGGCTTTACAAGCCCCTAGTCTCTGCTTTTGTTGTTGTTATTTTGTTTTTATTTCTTTAAAATCCTTTTAAAATGTAAGACTATCCTCAGCTTATAGGCAATATAAAACCGGATCTCCTGTCAGATTAGACCCATAACCTGTAGTTTGCAAAATTCTGCTGTACAGAATGGTTACCAAAGCATGTCTCTTAACCACCAGCAGTGGCTTCTGGGAATTCATTAAAATGTAAATTGTTAGGCCCCTACCGAATGAGAAACTTTGAATTTGCGCCCAGCAATCTGTGTTGTAAAAAGCCAGAGGTGTGATTTTGATATAATTGGTCAGCCTGGGCTGCATATTAGAATCACCTGAGGAGTTCTAAAGCCAGTCACTACCAAGCTTCACCTGATACCAAATCAAAACCCTGGGAGTGGGACCAAGGCATTAATGCTGTTGAAAGTCTTGGGGGGATGCAAAGTGCAGCCCTTGTTGAGAAAGCTGGTGTAAATCTAGATCATTTTCATTTTTGCAAATAAAGATTTAAAGCTAATGATATTATCAAAGGTGTGCAATAATTTAAGTCTTCTTGTTTTGTTGACCTCTTCAAGAAATCTCACCACAAACAGTTAATTAGAAGATAGCTATTCATTACTACATGCAAAGAACTATGTTGGATGTAGGGTTTTAAAGTATATTAATGGAGTCATCTATCTTTGAGTGATTTTTGTATAAAATGGAAACTTCCATTTCAAAGAAGCTCATAATTTTGGTTTTACAAGGAAGAACCAACTGGGGGAGCACCACCCAAATGTCCTTCTCCAAATTCTGAGGTTATACCTGCAGATACCTTTACTTCACCACTGCCTCATTTCCCTCAGCCTTCTCAGCATGGGCTAGGCCCATGAATCCATTATCCTGCATGGAGTAAGTCATAGCATGTTCATTCTTGTTTCAAAAACATTTTTCCCTCAAGTATTCTGTGAAAAAACCTTTGCATGGTTTTTTTCTGGTAAGATAATTCTAGAGTGCCACATTTGACAAATGACATCAGCTAGCCTGCTCTAGCCATAAACCAATTTAGAACACTTATGAATAATTTGGCTTCAGGTCAAGGTGGTGTAACATGAACCAGCAGAATATACAGCACAGTGTGTCCTTAGCAGCTATCCTAAAGATCAGCAAAACTCATTCCTGTAAGAGAAGCTCATCTGTGAAGCAAGGTCAAGCCCTGTGGCTGTCAGAGAAGGATCCTTGAACTGGAATCTCTCCTTGCCTGGAGGTACTTCTGCTTTGTGACTGCTGTGCAGACCCCCTGGTTATCTCCCTTATACCCATTCCATCCTGCCACCAACTATTGCCCCATCTTCACAGTTACAAGCATTCCCATTTTGCTGGAGAATCAATTCAGGGAAGGCTGAATTCCTCTCCAATCTCAGGGATTGAATCTTCATGGCTAGACAAATCACAGTAATTCTATTTCCTTTGTTTGATTGGTTTAGGAATAAGCATAAAATCCACAATTCTAGACCATGAGATCTCAGAAGAAATGTACAGGGTGACTTCTGGAAAGTTCTCTTTTTCTGTTCAAGTAGAACACAAAAATAAAAATTTGGGGTCGTGCTGGGAATTGAACCCAAGACCTCATGCATGCTAGGGAAAATTTTCTACCTCTAAACTATATTTCCAGCCCCAAAATACTTCTTCTTAGGTCATTGGATGAAGTTATATGATAACATGATGCCTAGATCTACTGCTTTGCAACAATGCCTGGAGCCAAAAGCCAACATGGCATGATAGAAAGATAATGTATTAGTCAGCGTTCTCCATAGAAACAGACTCAATGGGCTACATATAGATATATAAGATGTATTTCACAAGAATTGGCTTATTGACAATTAAGACAGCCAAGAAGCCCCCAGTCTGCCATCTATAAACTAGAGACCCTGGAAAGCTGGTGATATAACTCCCAGTCCAATGCTAAAGGCCTGAGAACCTGAGTAGGGTACTGATGTAAGTCCCCAAGTCAGAAGGATTGAGCATCCAAAGTTCCAAAGTCCAAGGGCACTGTTAGCCACATAACCAGATATGAATCCTGTGCATAGTTCTGTGCCTGGTAACTCTAAGCACATGTTTATTAGCACCAGGAATGTTTCTGTGGGGAGAAAGAGTTTTTTCACTCTATTCTTCTGTAGTTTTCACCCTTACTGACGTAGCTCCTCTCTACCACAATACTCTGCTGAGTACTTTATATCTGCCTCTTATAAAGACCTGATTGAGCTATTAACTTTGCGGGCCCATCCACTCCTGACACCAACACAGTGAAGGACAGGCCCTACCATACAGGTGCTGGTATTTTGATTGTTCATTTACTGTTATTACCTTTGACATTGTCATCACCAAAGCCATCCAAGGTCCTTAAAAGCTTCTCTATATTCCTGGCACTTCACACATAATAAACATTCAATAAATGTTGAGTAAATGCTTGAGGGCTGGGGATTTAGCTCAGTGGCACAGCGCCTGCCTGGCAAGTGCAAGGTCATGAGTTCAATTCCCAGTACCAGAAAAAAAAAAAAAAAAAAAAAGTAAATGCTTGAGTGAATTCTGTTTGCAGATAGAAAGCCAACGAGGAATAATAAAATGTAAAAATATCCATGACTTTATTTTTAAAGACAGAAACCCAAATACTAGCCTTCTCCTGACGCATCTAATTAAAACCCAAAGAGTGAAAAGTTTTGTAGTTCCCTTTTTAAGAATTGAGTGGCCTCTCTTTTTTCTCTTGCTCTGAATCTAATGCTCACTGTCGCTGGAAGTTTCAGGATCTAAGTAATTTAATTCTACAAGATCTTTCGTTGAAACTAAAGAATTCCATCATTACCAGTTACAAGTTTCTGGCTCATTGAAAGGTGTGCGTGTGTGTGTGTATGAGTGCACTTTTTGAGAAAAAGTACACAGTTATATCAGTTCCTTTGTGTGTGTGTGTGTGTGTGTGTGTAGGTACAGGGAATCAAACTCAGGACCTCATGCTTGCCAGGCAAGTGCTGTGCCACTGAGCTATATCCCTAAGCCTGATTATATCAGTTCTATAGTAACTCATTTATTCTACAATTTCAAAGTCATGGACTACATATAACATTGCCTTGAAGAAGTGCATTCATTGGAAATGTCTCATCCAGCAGACTGACTTTGGTAGCTGGGTTAAGGAAAAGAGTGGCTTGGTTCACCTTCTGTGGACCTTCCACCCAGCGAAGGGCACATGTGTAACATTCACGGTGGTCTTGGGTACAAAAGAAAGTGTCATCCTACTTTCTTCTGGAAATTTCGTTACTTGCCTTGGACAAAAAAAGCTACTTCATCCAAGGATTAAACATCTCAAGAACCAAATCCTACAGTGAGAGACTGAATAACTTCAACAGAGAGAAGGGAGTATCATGCTGAGACGAGGCTTCTCTGGAGCTGATTCTGCTTCAAACATCAATCCCTCCATGAACAGCACATCTGCAGTAGCTCCATGAAGAAGAAGCCCATGCTAGAGCAAAAGAAATATGCATATCAAATGTGCTTCCTAAAGCCTGTAGTTATCCATGTGAGGATGTAAAAATTATTAGCTGAGCCAGGCTTGGTGGCACACACCTATAATCCCAGCACAAGGCAGGAGGACTGCAAGTTCCACCCCAGCTTGGGCAATTTAGGGACTCAGGGAGACAGTCTTTAAAGACAAAAAAGGCCTGAGGTCGTAGCACAGTGT